TCCTCAGCCACCTCATTCCTGGATCATGAGAAGCATGTAACGTGCTAGCAGGCAGGGCAGCCATTCAGAGGGACCTTGGCAAACTGCAGAAATGGGCTGATGGGAATCTCAGGACACTTAGCAAAGGCAAACGCTAAGTCCTGCATCTGGGATGCAACAGCCACCTACAACAGCACAGGCTGGGAGCTGGCTGGCCAGAAAGCAGCTCTGTAGAAAAGGACCTGGGGGTCCTGGTGGACAGGGAGTTGAGTATGAGTCAGAAGTGTGCCCTGGCAGCAACAAAAACTGCATTAGCAGGAGCGTAGCTTGGAGGTTGAGGGAAGTGATTATACCTCTCTATTCAACACCTGTGAGACTGCATCTGAAGTACTGTGAGCAGTTTTGGGTCCTGATGATCAGAGAGATGTTGACAAAATGGAGAGAGTCCAGTGGAGGAGCACTATAGCGTTTGGGGGCTGCAGCAGGTGCCAAGCAAGGAGAGACTGTGTGTTTGTTTAGTCTAGAGAAGAAGACCGGGTGGGATCTAATTGCAGTCTTCTACTACTTAAAAGGGGGGTTGTAGAGAAGATGAAGCCAGGCTCTCCTTGAAGCTGTCTTGTGAAAGACTTAGAGGCAACGGTCACAAGTTGCAACAAGGGAAATTCAGATCGGATATAAGGAGAAGATTAATGGCAATGAGAGTGGCTGGGCACTAGAACAGGGCCCAGAGAGGCAGTGGAGTCTCCACTGTTGGAGATTTTCAAAACGTGGCTGGACAAGGCCGTGAGCAACCTGCTCTAACTTGAAGTTAGCTCTGCTTTGAACAGAAAGTTGGTCTAGGTGACCTTTGGAAGTCACTTCCAACTTTTATTATTCTATCAATTCTAAGGTGTAAAATTGGTTGGCAAAATATATACATGGAGAATTTCAAATGAAGCCACAGGAGGTGCAGGAGAGGAATTGGCCTCCTTCATGTTCAGAAAGCAGGGAATATATATGCAAGTCTGGAGATACCTGAGCAGTCAGGTATACATGGACTGTCACATCTGTGCAGTCAATCCAGTGTTTCCCAAAAGTCAACAACTGCTGTGCATATGCAGGTCTGTGGGTATGTCCCAGGTCTTAATGCATGGCAGCCTGGTTGTGGTCCCTGTACAGTGGCTCTGATCATGCTGGCGTACATCAGGATATCCCAGACAAATAAGGAAGTCTTCTGAGTGTCAACCGGATAGTATCTTCAGTTAGAAAAAAGAGAATGTGTGGCAGCTTTGTATTCAAGACTTTCTCATAACACCCGTTTTTCCTAGCTTTGAGAGGTGAAGGCTGGTCCTTCCTTTCTGTTCCCATTATTTCAGAAAAATTTGAAGAGGTGCTTTTAAACTCAATTCTGTATTAGTGAATCTTTGCAGCAGAGAATTACTTTATACAAAGAACAAAGATTCAAACAGATAAAGTCTTTGAACTTTACCACAGTCACTCAAATAATGAGTTGGCCATGTTTGACAATTATTGTCTGTGTGTGAGACTTTCCATGGCACCAGTCCTATAAGTGCATATGTGGTTGGTTATCCTCACCTACTGAAGTAGTTTGGTAAGCACAAAACCAGAGAGCTGCTAGAGAAGTTCCTCCGTATCCAGCTCCAGAATTGTCTCTGTATGTACTTCTAACATGGTACATTTAAAGTGTGTTTCAGAGCACACTTTAATTTGCCCTGCAGAAGGACTTCTGCTCAGGTGTTTTTAATTTAATTTCTAGTTTGAGTAAGAAGTGTTGAAATTTCTATCACATTTGCCCTTAGAAGATATTTGTTTGGGAAAACTAGTTTGATAAAAGTTGGGAAAGTTGACTTATGTTCCTGACAAGGACATAGTACATATGTTTAACTGCTGTTGCATATATCTATCAACAGTACACAGATATAGACTTAACTTTCCATGCAGTACAGACTTGTGGTAGCGTTTTGACCATGTATGGCTTCCCCAGTAGCCTAGTATATTTGGCTTAGAGCTATGTTCAAAAAACTGAAGTCAAAATTAGAGGAATAAAAAGTCACTGTATTAAGATTTATGTGGTTGCAAATAAAAATAAAACTTTTGGTTCACAAGTAGAGTGGTATTTTATTGCATGTCCTAATATTCTGCCTGTGTCAAAATAAATCTCAATAAAAGTTACTGTTTAATACTCCTTTGAATTAGTTCCCATGCATTCATGTGAAACGTATTAGGATGACAGAAGCAGTGATGGAATAGGATACCCTTTACAAAGTGTGATAAAGTCCTTTGCTCATACACTGTGCTGCTGTGCTTTTTGCTTTTTTTCTTTTTAATTTACAGACATTTGTCAGCCACTCACTAACAGATACAAATGTGAACTCTTAAAGATATTTTGCAAAGATTTTTGCTTGAGCCTTGTGTTTTGGGGGAATGTATGTATATTTATTTGCATAAAAGTACCAGACAAAAATTTTCAGATTGTTGCACTCAAATTATTGGCAAAGTTTAGTAGACCTAATTTGAGTTTAGATTAAGTGTGTGGTAGCATCCAACAATTCTGCAGTTTGAAAATTATGTTTGATAAGCCTGTTCTACGCTGTACATTGTATCTTGGAATTTTCTAATAATGTTAGTTTGCGACTGTGAAACAAAAGCCTTTTAATGTAGTTAGTTCTTGGTCAGGTAAACTAAAAATCATTGCGTTTGTGTTGTCTTATCAGGTAGAAACCTGAATGGAGTTTTATTGGATAAAAGCAGAAAAGAAGATAAATACTGGAATTTTAAATGGAGAATGAAAATGATTGTGGTCAAATGCCTTGGCAGCATGTCTGCTTTCTCTAAACTTGGAATACATGCTGTTGCTTTAACAGAAAAGATACTTCATGCCTCTGCCATTTCCATTATCATATATTTTGTATTTGTGATTTCTTAAATGTAAAAAATGTGCTTGATTCTTCGAAAAAGCAAACCTCCTGAAACATTGGACTTTGGATTAGACTTAAATGCAGAGAGATTCTTCTCATCTGGCTCACCAAAAAAAGGCTGGAGCACAGTAGGGAACTTAGGTGAAGAGGTAGCACAGATTTTTAGATAGATTATATACAGTCTACAGATAGATTTTATACAATCTTCTGGTTCCTTTAGAGTCATTGCTCCTTTCAGTGATGAGTCCTTCCCAAATTACCACTTTGAACTGGACACCTGAGGCTTTTGTTTTGTTTTGTTTTGTTTGTATTCAGTTGCTTCAGTGCACAGTTTTGGACACAGCTGAGTTTTAGGCATCTAAATTAGCTGCTTAAATTAGAAGAACAGATTCCCTTTATAATGACCTGTGAGAAGTTAAGAATGCACCTGCTCCCTATTGACTGCACAGGGAACCTGAAATTAGATGCCTCAAGATGTAAACACAGTTATATGGACAAAGTGAAGCATGAATATTAACGTTACCAGGATGTTCTTTAGTGTTTAGTGTAACGGGCCCCTGAGTGGGACCACTAGATACTGCTGCTACAGAAACAGTAAGTGGGAGTTAGAGATATGATGCCCACATAGAAATAAAGAGTAGGGTAAGATCTTTTTGAAAATTTTGCTTTTCATGGACTCTTTAGGAGGGTGCATTTCCACTGAAGACCTCAGCGCACTTCTGTCCCTGGCACAGTTAGTTCTCACATTACGTAATGAAGCAGTGCTGTGTTCCCAAATGCCATGGGACAGTTTTTGTTTCTATTCTAAATGCAGGTAAACTGAAGCATGGAGACAGTATGGCCCATGTGCAAGTAGATACAGCTGGTCAGAAGAAAATGTCTTAGTGTTAGAAATAGAAAGCAGGAGTTACAGAACATGGTACACGCTTGTAGTGCGAAACATGGGTTGCCTGAATGTCGTCCCAAAATTAAATGAACATTTGCAACCTAAGCTCCAATCCTCCAGACTCCCATTACTAGGTAGAGTACTTGCTACTTTGATTTCACAAGGCCTATTAATGGTAGCAAGCACTGCTTTGGATAGCAAGTGTTTGCAGATGGATCCCTAAATTGCCTTCTATGGAATAAAAATGAGAACAAGAATTTTGAGGGAGGTTGAAACAACTGCTAAACCTATTACTAACGGCTGATTGGAAATACTGTAACATATCCAAAAAAGCGTGCAATAACATAGAAAAACATGCAAAAACAAGGCCAAGACCATATTTCTAAAGAATTTCCATAATCTCTGCATTTTTATGTAGGAAATATATTTTAAATATTGCATACATGAGATCTAAAAATAACTTTCAGTTTGGTTTACATCAAATGGTGACAAAATCCTAATGGCAACCCTACAACTATCTGTTGTAATAAGCGCATTAGTGAAGAGAATAATAAATTATGAAGGGTGAATCATACTTATTTCAGATTGGATATGTTATTAAGACAATATATGGATCCCTACAGAATATATTTTTGTGTCCTTTCATTACCAGAAAAATAAAGGCGCGCCAAAAAAAATCCATAACTTTAACAGCTTCTTTCCTTGACAGTCACAGAACTAAATTAATCTCCACTTTAATTCTACTGACATCAATGAAATTAGTTCAAGAATTCATACTGTGAATTTCACTTATAATTTTTTTTTTATTTATACTTTATGTGGAAAATAGAAACAGCCAAGCAATCCCCAGGGATTTATAGAAATTATCAGTGAAATGCCGTCTGCTTTCATAAAGGTTATCCATTGCAACACAAACGTCTGTGGTACATGTATTATGATGCTGTTTTAATTTTCTGGAGGACAAGCTCTTTGCAGGAATAAAGATTTTCCAGAATTACAACAAATACACACACAGTGTACCCCAAATAGGGCAAATCTTTCCGAGATACAGAATGGCACAAGTACTTTAATTAGTCTAGGGGCAAGGTCCTGATTTCATTAAGTCCATTCGAAAGATGACACTGGTATCAGTGGATCAAGGTTTGGCATGGTTTAAGATTTCCTCAAAAGTCCATGAACATTTTGCATTCAGTGCTAAGTGGTACAAAAGCATGTACCTTGTGCGTGGAGAGGCCCTGATCTCTTGAAGAGCTGCTGTTGGTCCCATCTGACATGGAAGTGATGTCCCATGACTGGGAGAAGGCAAACAGAAGTTCTCCAGGTTGTTCCTTGAAGAGTCTGAACATCACCTGCCACTAAGGGAAACATATTTACAAGTGGCATGCATGAACAACATGGATGATAGGTACCAGGTCTCACAAACATCCTGGATTTCTGGCCGTTCTCACAGCTAGTGAAAATTCCTTTCTAAAGGAATTAAAAAATAAATTAAAAAATTAAAAACTAATTCAAGTGCAATGTTTCCTTTCTTACATCAATTAGTGTATTATTTAAGGTCACTTGCTGGAGCGAGCCTTACCTCCTATGTTCTTCATCTATAGCAATATTACCAAGTCTCTGTATTTTTGCATCCATCGTGTATGTTTTCTGCAGCAGGGTGACTGGCCTTACATGTTTTCTTTTCTTGTCAGTCACAGCCTGGCTAACACTGAAGGCAGAAAGCAGTCAGAAAATGAGCAGGCTTAGGATCTCTGAAACTATGGGGAGAAAAGTCAGAATTTGGAGGAGAGTGAGGATGGATGGAAAACAAATGTTATACAGAGGAATCGTGATGGCCGGGTGAAGCAATAGCAAGTTGCAAGCAGAAAGAGTTAACGTTGTTTAAAGTATGAGATCGATGCTAAACTATTACTACCAATAATGTATACTGTGACCTTTCGTGGTATACTCTTTTATTTTGTTCTGAGAAAAAGTATCAATCCTGAAGTGAAGGCAAACAAAATAATCTTATATGAGGAAGGTAGAGAAAGCTTTTTACATACCAATTAAATTACTTTGCTCGCAAATACTCCTTTTATAACATTCTGCAGCATTCTCTCTTCCTGATGCTTTCGCTGTGATTTTATATGGTTGCACTGGAGTTATCCATGGTCATCCTCCTGCTGTATTCCTGGCATTCACTGAGTACTGCAGCAGTACGGGGTTGAGGTGTGGATTTAGGAGATGGGATGCTAGAAGAAATAACTCAAATGGAAACACCATAAGTCTCAAGATTTCTCAAGAGTCAGCTCTATAGAGCTTATCAATTGGGAAGATAGACGTGATTTCAGACTAGCCTTAAAATCTTTCAGACTGCAACACAGTATTCATCTGCGTGCAGAATTTCAGACAGGCTGAAACCAACATGTAAGAGGTAACTAAAGCTGCCTTTTCCAGCAGCTGTTTTTTCTGAACAGCACACGTAATGATTTAAAATTACAGAGTCACAGAATAATTCAGCTTGGAGGGGACCTCAGGCGGTCATCCTGCTCAGAGTAGGATTGGCTCTGAGATCAGAGCAGGCGACTCAGGGCCTTATCCAGTTTGATCTTGAAAATCTCCAAGGATGGAGGTGGCACAGCCTTTCTGGGCAACCTCTTCCACTGCCTGATTATCCTAATAGAGAAAAAGGTTTTCTTAATATCCGGTAAAAACCTCTCTTCTTTCATCTCATGTCTGCTGTCTCTTGTCCTCCCATCATGCACCACTGTGTGAAGAGCCTGGCTCCATCTTCTCAACAGCCTCCCAACAGGCACTGGCAGGCTTCTGTTAGATCCACCCAAAGTCTTCCCTTCTCCAGGCTGAACAAGCTGTGCTCCCTCAGCCTCTCCCCACAGGACAAGCACTCCAGCCCTCCCTAACCATCTTGGTGGCCCTTCACTGAGCTCACTCCAATTTATCTTGTACTGGGGATCCAAAACTGTACGCAGTATTCCAGATGTGGTCTAATGAGCACTGGGTGGAGGGAAATAATAACTTCTCTGGAACTACTGGCTGTGTTCCTGTTAATACAGCTCAGGATGCAGTTGGCCTTCTTTGCTGCCAGGGCTGATGCTCTTTGCTGCTGGGTGATGCTTGCCTTGCTGACTCCCAGGACCACCAGAGTCTTTTCCACAGAGCTGTGCCCCAGCCAAGGGGATGCCACTTTGTTCTGGCTTTACCTCTTCCACTCACCGTTACCTCTTCTGTTGATGTGGTCCCGGAGTCTGAAGGTTCCAGCTGTCCTGCAGATGGATGGAACAAAGGGGGTTTCTTCTCAGAAAGAGTGAGATAGTCTAGGCCTGCAGATACTGCAAGATGAGCTGCAGCCTTTGTGTAATGGATGCAGTAGAAGTATGTGTGTGGTATGTGTTAGGTCTATAAACAAGGTGTCTCCATTCCCCTTGTAGTGAATGAAGAGAGGCAGGCTCCTTTTTCAGTGAGGCAGGTGTGAGGCAGTGACTATCCTAACAATTTCTCTCAGCAATCACTTTGCTCCCATCATTTGGTCTTCCTCAGCTGAGGAAAAGTCTGAGAATCTTAATTTCACACCCTCATTGCACATTGTGGAATCTAAAATCACTGATGAATGAACATTATCAGTGCCAGTTGCTTTATCCATCTTTATTTTTGTAAATTATTTGTTTTTCTTTGCTTGTCTTTTTGCCCTTTCCAGATGAAAATGACACTTGACAGCCAGAATGACCACTCCATGCCACAGAAATGAACTAGAAAATGATACTGAGAAGCAAGACGTTTGCGTGAGCGTATTTGTAGAGGATTAGGCTTCGGGTGGGTGGAATGTGCCTGTTGCAAAGGTTCTGTGGTAAAATTTACTGGAGCATAACATTGGGGATTTGAAACACATGGATAAGCCAAACCAACATATGTGTTTGCACTGTTTAGAGTGGCATTTACAACACAGGGTGGTAAACCAACCTCATTTCAAAACAAACCAATTCTCCAGGCCCCATGTAGATCAGCAGGAAATTGAAGCCTACGCTCAGAAAAAGGCCAGAAGACAAACTAGTACAGTTTGACAGACAACGCAGCACTGCAGTAGGGTCAAGACAGGAGGTGACGAGGTAGGAAAAGCTGGAAGAAAGTCAATGTAATTAAAGATCACAGAAAGAAGAGCAGTGCAATTGCCTTTAGATCCCATGTTAAAATTTTTCACCTACTAAAAATGTATTTTTCAGTAATATTACTGAAAACAGTAAGTTATTATGGTGACAAAAATGTATTTCTTTTATTCAAGTTATTTCTTGACAAAAACAAGGTGTTTTCTGTCAATTTTATAGTAACCGAAGAATAAGTCAGCTCTGGACTGGCACTTATTCTGGTCTGATGTCAGGATGTGTCACACTTCAGCTCAAACCAAGTGTGGTCAGAATCAGGTGTAGCTGTAATATATTTAATTGAATTTCACCAATTTAGGCTGACATAATTTGGAATAATACATTGGCATCACAGTAGCTGTTTAATTGCAGTTATTAAAAAATTCTGTAGTCATTCAGTATGCCACACCTTTATACCACACATTCATACTCTCAGAGATACTATTAAATTTAACAGTTGTTAATTTTCCTGTAGTTTGAAATAATACAAATAGTCCAAACTTCTGCTACAAATTATACATGAAATTACCTAAACCTGTCATTTAAATACCTTTCTAAACATCCACAAACCCAACAGTTGTATCCAATTTGGGCCAGTTTGGGGCCACATGTACTTGTCCATGAGATTGCATGTGTAGCATCTGTGCATGGACATTTAGGCCAAAAGTTTTAAAAACACAAGAAATTGCAAAAGAAGATACTGAGACCTGTGAACTTTAGAAACAAGGCTAGTAGGTAACTGAATAAGTACTGACTTGTGAGTCAACTTTCTGACTCCTTCTGCACGTTGTTAGAAAATGGTTTATTGCTGGTGTTTCAATAACCATGAATTGTAGTTAATTCCAAAGTGCAACAGAACATCCACGCACACTAAGAGAGTTTATTTTGCAATGATAAAGAAAGTGAACAGCTACTTCACACTGGTAATTATGTGGCACTGTAAGCCTAGGAAGATAGAACGTTGACTTCCCAGCACCATTATTTTCTTTCAGAACCACTGTTTTCTTTCTCTTTTTCACTCTTTCTAATCTCCCAAATTGTTTTTTTAATGACACAACTTACATGCACGTAATGCTTTTCATCCAGAACAATGCCAAAGTGCTATACAGACTCTGTATTGTGTTAGTGAAGCTTCACAACAAATGCCTTTTTCTGTATTAGCACTCTCTAGAAAGAAAAGGACCCTGTGTACATGACAGAAAGTACATCAAGAAGACGAGAGTATGTATATCCACATATGATATAAATTGTTAGATTGAGAGTGAAGATTAATGTAGAACCTCCAATACTGTCTGTATCCATTTTTCTTTTAATAGTTCAAGTATTTTAATGGCATATTAATTAAGGTTTCATGATTTGTAGGATAATCAGTAGATATTCCAGGCTTCTCTAAGTTATGAAGAGAATGAGGTGGGAAACATAAAATGTACTACAAAAAACTGAAAAATGTCATTCTGAAATTATTCTCCCCAATTAAATCGAGTTTTCATTTCCATTTCACTTCTTTTGTTTTTTGATAAATAGATGCCTACAACTCTCCTCCTTTTTCTGTAACGGGGAAAAAAGCACAGATTTTTTGATGATTGTTTTGTAAATGTAAGTTTTATTGAATACTTTTTGGTTTGCATTTAACATCCAAAACACAGATATTAAATATGGACATTCAATACTACAACGTAGTATGTATATTGTAGTATTTTAAAAGCATATGGTATTACATATAGGTAAGGCTTGCTTTTGAGGTAAGTGTTACCTATATATTCTCATAATTAGTTATGAACCTTGCCCTTGATAAGTCCTCTGGGATATAAACCAGCTGAACTTTACAGCTATTTATTGTATCTATGGGGCTTTAAATAAAAATTCTGCATAATAGTGTCTCAATTTGAAAGAATTTCAGTTCTAACTTTGACCCTAGCATTTCAGCAAGGTCTAGACCAGGTTGATTATCTATCTCCATAATTACAGTATTAAAAATGCAGCTCTATATCCTTGTAATGATGTGAAACCCTTCTTTGCTTGAATCTTAAATAACAGAGCTCTGCTTTGGTAGGAACCACTGGAGAGACCTACCTTTTCCAAAACTGTGGGGACCTGAAAGTATAGCGCCTCTGCAACTTCCATTTCAGCATACAACAGAAAAATGGTGCACACTGTATTTCAGTTTCCTCTTTGAAAGGATTTCTGAGCTCTGGGTCTGTTTGTGCACCACGTCTAATGGTTCTTGCATGCCTCTTGTGTCTCTCCCTGTGCCATCATGTGCCCGTGAGTATTGGTCGTTGCGCGAATAACGCATTCCCACACGCTCATTGAGATGCTTCATAGATTTAAATAGGATCTTAACAATAGCCCTATCATGCTGGAATGAATTTTCCCAGCAATGCCCATTGCTAGGCAAAACTCTGAACTCCTTATCCATAGTGGTAGCCCTACTGACACAAATACAAGGTCAGGCATTCAGCATTATTTCCTCCTCCCCCATGAGCAGAAGCGCTCAGC